AGATAGATAGATAGATAGATAGATAGATAGATAGATAGATAGATAGATAGATAGATAGATAGATAGATGCATATAATTTTTTCAGGCAATGATGTGCAAATGATTCATTATTGCTTTCTTTCAGGATAGTCTGTAGACTTCCAATTTGGGGGCTTTCTGATAGTTTCCCATCCAAATGCTGATCAGGTATGACCATCTTCAGTTTTGGTTCACTCAAGAAATAATTCTTCTCAGAGTTTTTCAAGACCTGCCACCTATTAGGATGATAATAGGAATTCAATATAATGCATGCATTAGAATTAAAAGTTATTTGTCAATGGCAGCCTTGAGAAAGGATGGATCTTCTTGTTTGATAAAGTTGGGATGGACAGGGAGAGATTATATATTTCTTGACCATTCATCATTTACAACCTGCAGCTATGCCAAAAGGAAATAATGTTTGTTTTTCAAGCCTAGCTCTGTCCTACATATGTCTGGAAGCTATAAGTGATCTTCTAGCCATCAAATGTTGATCTAAAATGGTTTAGCAGGCATAGGAATAAAATTGTTTATTGTTTTGCATGTTTTCTGCATAAGTCCCCTCCTTCTTAATCTGTAGACATTACTTTTTCATTAGAAACTGTATAGTGCTAGCACAGTAGAGTCTTTCCTGTCCCAATTCCTAATATATACTTTACATTGATTCTCAAATCTTCATTTTTTTCTCTCTCTGAAGAATGAAGACCAAGATTGTTTCCAATTTGGCAGAATAATCTGATAAACAGATAATCATGTCCTTCAAAAGTTCCTAAATGAAAATAATTTATTATTTCTTATTATTGATATTATTGCACATGATAACACACACACACACACATATATGCATATGCTTACACACACACACACAAACACACACACACACACACACACACACATATATATATATTAAAAATTACATTAAAAATTGAAGAATAGCGATTCCTGGGTACATACATTTCAGTAAAAAAGGAAGCGATCACCAGGAAATAAAACACCAAGGTTTTAATAAATAAAATCAAGCTTTCGATGGCTAACATCTGCCATCATCGTCAGGATACAAGCCAGTTAGTGAGGAAACCTGCTTATAAGCATAGCCACAGAATCACTGAAGGCTGTAAGTGAAGTAAGGATTAGTTGGCTTGGACCTGTTACAAGGTCCATGCGTAGAGTTTAGGTGTGGCTATGCTTATAAGCAGGTTTCCTCACTAACTGGCTTGTATCCTGACAATGATGGCAGATGTTAGCCATCGAAAGCTTGATTTTTTTAATTAAAACCTTGGTGTTTTATTTCCTGGTGATCGCTTCCTTTTTTACTGAAATTTTTTACTGAAATATATATATATATATATATATATATATATATATATATATATATATATATATATATTAGTAGATGATATTATTTTATTGTTTTCCATTCTTAGGTTGTTGTAGCTGAATCAACCAAGTTACTGTAGTTGAATCACTCCATATATCTTCTAGGAGTTAAACTCGATTTCTAAGAGACTTTACTTTTTAGCTACCACTTGAGATTTTTGTAGAAGGAGAATTTGAAGACTGATTTTGGTGTTTTGATCTGCATAAGTGTACAGAGTTAGTGGTATGTTCTTCTAACATACGTGTCACCTCTGTCATACAATCACTAAAATCTTTATACTTACTGTACTCTCCAAATTTCTTGCTCTAGGTTGCATAGATGATTTGGTTAGTTTTTCAATATTTAAGCCTATCAAAGTATTCTTAAGGTGGTCCTACTATACAAAATAAATATTTCCTTCCAGTCTTCTCTACTTCTAAATTAGGTTTTTTAAAAAAAAAGAACTGAGGAACTTCAGGGAATTTTGTTCCCGTTTCAGTCTTTGAGATGGTTTCCTTTCTAACCCGTTCTCTAATTGAGCAAATTAAACTGGGCTGAAAATCTAATCCCTGCATTAGTCACCATGAAGAATGTAATATAAGCAGTGCTACAAGGAATATAACTTAATCTCCAGGGTGTGCTCATGATAAAGTAATCATAGCCATCTACGACATGTATAACTTATTCACATTTGTTCTCATCATCCTTCTTAGATCTTGCCAACTGGCTCTTAACAAAAGAAATCATTGTCCCACAGCACAGAGTGGAATCACAAATGAGCAATGGGAAAAACTTACTGGCACAAGTGAATATGGTAATAAATATAAATGGCAACAGGTGAACAACTCTGCGTTTGATCTTTTTTTTAAGGAGAACAATGTCATACTTCCCACTGCATCTGAAATAATTACATGCAAAGTGTTTTAAAACACATGATATAACTAATAAGTAAAGCTGTCATATAATTAGATATTTTCTTGATTAAAGGGTATGTGGAAGCAGTGTGAAGTAAAAAAAAGAATGGTGTGCTTTTAAATAATAGGCATATCTATTACCTAAGACTTTGTCTTCAAAGTTGGATCAGATGTAGCAATGCTAAGAACACTGGTAATCCCTTCCCTTTGTCATAAATGCAACATTTGAACAATGTGACATATTCTGCTCTCTTTGGTAAGTGGCATATATGAGATGCTATTTTAAAATAATAACCTACCTTTTTTTCAAAAGAAATCATTCCCTTTTCCCTCACAGAAGCAGAATTTTAGTATATGGAATATGTTTAAATTTTTGTCCAATATCTAGCTGGTTTATTTATTTATTTATTTATTTAAAAAAGAAGCAGTTTTAACAGTGTTATATCATCATTACTTTCATTTTAATAAGAATGATTAACATTCTTATTTTAATTTATTAAATAAGTTGGTTTATACATATTGCCTGCCCACTGTTCAGAATGGATGCATTAAATAATCCAGATGCTAAAAATATAGCAAAATAAATTTAGAAACAGCCTTTCATGGCATTGATTCTGAGATAAAACATTAAACAGTACAAGCTTTAGCAAACAATTTGCTAAAGCTCAGAATATACTCTCTTTCTCTCTCTTTTCCTCTCTCTCTCTCTCTTGTTCTCTGTCATTAATTGAATAAATATTACTACTACTCTCGCTTTCTATCACTGCGTGTGAGAGAGAGAGACAGAGAAAGAGAGAGAGAGAGAGAGAGAGAGAGAGAGAGAGAGAGAGAGAGAGAGAGAGAGAGAGTTGATTGGAACAGTTCTATTACATTTTTTCTACCTAAAGCAGAACAAAAAATGTCATCCCAAATATTTTTTCAAATAAATGATATGGCCCTGAGCACTATAGATTATGTGGCATGCTAGATCCTGTGTGAGGTTGCAACTCCCATACACCCAACAAGATCGGTGGTTGTAGTTTGTGACAGCTGTAATCCAAAATGTTTGGAGGATAGCAGCATAAGATGCACTGCAGAGCATTCAGATCAGAATGTCTTTCCCTAAAATCCTCCAAAGGTTCAAAATAGTTGAGATTAGAAAACTAAGGAAAAACTGAGAACAAGCTAGATGTAGTGGTTAAGGTTTCAAGCTAGAATCTGAGAGGCTGTGAGCTCTAGTCTTGTCTTAGGCAGGAAGTCAGCTGGATGACCTTAATTCAGTCACTTTCTCTCAATCCTAGAGAAAGTCTTTGTCCCAGTGGCAAACCACTTCTGGAAAACCTTGCCAAGAAGACTTCAGGCAGTCAGGCAGTCTCTGAGATTCACATATTAGGATTAGAATGCAATAAAGCTGGAAGGGACCTTGGAGATCTTCTAATCCAACCCCCTGCTCAAGCAGGAGACCCTATACCATTTCAGATAAGTGGCTGTCCAGTCTCTTCTTAAAAACCTCCAGTGACAAAGCATCCACAACATCTGAAGGGAAGCTATTCCACTGGTTAATTGTTCTCTCTGTTACTGTAGAAACTTTCTCCTTAATTCCAGGTTGCTTCTCGCCTTCATTAGTTTCCATCCATTGTTTCAAGTCCTGCCCTCTGGCTCTTTAGAAAATAAGTTAATTCTTTTTGGCAGCCCCTCAAATACTTTTTTCCTTCCATTCAAATATGATTAAATGGAAAGAAAACAAAAACTAAGCAGCAGGAAGATTCAAGTTACAGAATATACATATACAGAGATTTATATAGACTTTAAGTAGATGCCCAAGACTATGCTTTGATGTTCTCCTGCTACTTTAAATGTTTCCTTGATATTGTGTACTGTCCAGAAAGTCTTATCAAACCATATTGTAGTTACCCAAGCATATTTATCATGAAAGTGCTTACTATCAGGGGCTTTTTAGTCAATGTCATGCATTAGACTTTAATGCTTGGTATTAAGAGATTTGCTACTCCTGATATTTGATTTCCCGTCAGCTAGATCAGTGGTTCTCAACCTATGGGTCGGGACCCCATTTGGGGTCGAACGACCATTTCACGGTGGTCGCCAAACAATGCAGTCTGCCATTTTTTCCCCTTTTCCTTAGCTGTGCTACTCCCTTTTATTCTATTGGCTTTTGAAAGCCAATAGAATAGACTCTCTTGAATAGAGTCTAATTCTATTGGCTTTCAAAAGCCAATAGGAATTGTCCAGGCTGTCTCTGCCCTGCTGAGCCCGCCAAAAGTCCCATTCTGCAAACGGTGCTGCACCAGTTGAGTAGTCCTCGACTTACGACGGGTTGAGTAGTCCTCGACTTACGACCGGTTGGGGGTCATGGCATTAAAAAGGTTGAGAACCACTGAGCTAGATCATGGCAGATATAGCACCCACTGGTTATAAGTGACAGCTCTATGAGGCTATTTTGTTTGTTTCTTTTTGTGTTAAACTAGCCTCTGAAATATGATATGCACAACATGCACACATATTAAAATGGGTTTTTCATATGGTGTGCTTCACATCATTTGCCCCCTTACTTAGGCAAGCTCCCCCATTGTGTCTCCTCACTGTTTCCTAATGAATAGGGTTGCAATTGGTTAAAAATGCAACATAAATCTTTTGGAGGCCTTAAAGAACACCCAACATTTAACAAAGGAAATAAAATTAAGAAATAGAGTGTGAGAGAAAGAAGGTGATACCTGCAAAAGGCAATCTCAGTGGCTGGCAAATTTCATTTTCACCGGCTTCCTCGAGGGAAATGAACAGCTTCCTGACCAGTGCCACTGAAATAGTCTGCACTAATAGAGAAGTGAGGTTTGATCGGTGTTGTTTATAGCTTCCATCTGCAAAAAGTTGGGGGGGGGGGGAGAGAGAGAGAGAGAAAGAAAAGGGGGGAAAAAGAGTAAGTGACAATTATCAAAATCTTTGTTCCATTTTCCTGTATTTGCATAGTACAATTACAGGTAAACCCCAACTTATGACCAAATTGAGACCAACATTTATGTTGCTAAATGAGACATTTGTTAAGTGAATTTTGCCGCATTTTATGACCTTTCTGGCCACAGTTGTTAAGTGAAGCACTGCAGATGTTAAATTAGGAACATGGTTGTTAAGTGACTCTGGCTTCCCCATTGACTTTTTTGTAAGAAGATTGCAAAAGGGGATCACATGACCCGGGACACTGCAGCCGTCATAAATATGAGTCAGTTGCCAAGCGTCTGAATTTTGATCACATGATCATGGGGATGCTGCAACAGTCGTAAGTATGAAAAATGTCACTTTTTTCAATGCCGTTGTAACTTTGAATGGTCAGTAAATGAACACATACACCTCAATCACATCATAACTAAAATAATTGCCACAAGCCCACATTTTAGAAATGCACCTTAGACATTTTTTTTCCCTCAAACACAAACACCTGAAAATGGTTTCCCTCATAAATATTTTATCGGTCTCTGTCTGAACACATTTGGTGAAGGCAAGTCCAACACATGGGCTGGTTCCGCTGTTGAAGTGCTCTGTGAGGAAATTTGTCCTAGAACAGCTGGAATGGGCCCTTTTGTGATTTAAGTTCACTGTTCTGCACTTTGCCATCTAAGATGACATTGGTTCTCCTCTGCTGTATCCTTCAAAAGGGCTACCCTATTCCCCTTCCACCTTTTCTTCTGAATGCCAAATATTGTCCATCTGGGGAGGACACAATTTCCACTCTACATATCGCCTTTGTTGTCCTTTTCAGAAGCTCTTCCAATATGGTATGTCAATCTAAAGCAGGGGTGTCAAACTGGTGGCCCACAGGCCAGATGCATCACATGCAGGCCATGCCCATGCCAGCTCCGCAAAGACAAAAAACATTGTGCTACATCACGATACATCACGTGACACGATTGAGTTTAATACCTGTTATCTAAAGTAAAGGTAAGACTTCTATCTGAATAATTTCTCCCAGGGTTTAACACTCATGCTAAATAGGAAGGCACATTCAATGCATCTTAATCTCCCATAGCTCCATTAGCATGGAGTAGAGCAGAAGTCTTACAACATGACATCCCTGAATAAATGCTGTGACCTTGATGGATTCTCCACCCCACATTATTAACTTCAAAGGATAGTTGTTTAAATAGCATGATGGGTTTAAAAAGGGATCTTCAGGACTGGAGAAAAAAGAATCAGAGACTGCAAATAGAGAAAACAGCAGTCACATTTTTTTTTTAGATCTCGCCAAGAAACATTCAACAGACAGATTTTAAAGCTTTATTTTCCAGCTGTATAACCTATGCATAATGAAAAGAAAATTTAGATGTGTATGTCATTGTTGAATAAAGTGAACCATGTATAAACAAGGCTGAAAAGGGGTTTTTTTTCACATTTGTGTTAAACCTTTTAAATCCTCCCTTATTATGTTTGCCCTAGAACAGTATTTTAATGATCTCCTTCCCTCCACATTTTTAGAAAAGAAAAAAAAATGACTAATATAGAACTGACTTTTAACTACATTGCTAATAGAATTGTATTACTTTTGAAATAACAGAACTGAGTGGTTCATTAATTTATCACCTTAAGCATAATGGAAATTTGTCAGTTTTATGGTTTGAATAGCTACTCCAAAGAACCTTATTCTGTGTACTAGGAAAGTATAAATTATAATAGAAAATATAACGTGTTTAGTAGAATAAAATGTATACAGCTTTATTTTAGGAAACTATAACCTATCACAGCAAATCATGAATAAAGAATGTTTGGTGGAATAAAAATTCAACAAGCTCAGTCAGTAATCTCCTGGATATCTTCAATTTATGCTTAAAAGGAATACACTACAGTAGCCTAGAGGTGAAGATGTTCACCTCCAAGTCAGAAGGTTGAGAGTTCAGTCCTAGACAGCGATAGATGTTTCTCTATCAGGGTGCAAAGAGAAAAGATCTGCTGCAAACTCCATATAGGTGTCAGGAAGACTCAGCTCCATTCAGTTGCTCTAACTCCATCTTGATAAAAGGGATTACAGGGTCTTAAAAAGAATATATATATATACACAAACACACACACATATATATATATATATATATATATATATATATATATATATATATATATATATATATATATATATGTATATGTATATATATATACACATTACTAATGTAACTGGGGATACTAAACATGTTTTTTATTTTTTATTTTTTTGCTCCTGTCCTATGCACAATGAACTTATAATTATTGAAAAGTATATGTCACAGAAGAAAACATGAAGATACATCCAGTGAAATATAAGTTGTATACTAACTCATATAGATTCTGTTACTTTTTGAGGAAACTGTGGATAAGGTACAAATACCCCCCCCAAAAAAAACAACCCACACACTAAATAATCAAAGAAATGGTGGATAACCTCTCTTTCCAACGCATAAGTCTTCTTAGCCATGATTTTATAGCAACCAATTTCATTTGCCAAAACTCGGGAGTACTGAGTTTCATAGTTTTGAAGTGTATATCTTTGTGTGTATTTAAAGCCCTTCAAAATTGAATGAAACAACAAAAAATGAAAAATGAAACAACAAAAAATAAAAAGCAAAATGAAATACTACTGTTTCCCTATGTGACATGACATATATTTTTAATAATTATAAGTACTGTTGCCTACTCATTTCATGCATCTCTGTCAATTGTATTTTTACATTATTTGATCCAATTGAACTTAAAATAAACCCATTCTTCTTCTTCTTCTTCTTCTTCTTCTTCTTCTTCTTCTTCTTCTTCTTCTTCTTCTTCTTCTTCTTCTTCTTCTTCTTCTTCTTCTTCTTCTTCTTCTTCTCCTTCTCCTTCTCCTTCTCCTTCTCCTCCTTCTCCTTCTCCTTCTTCTTCATCTTCTTCTTTTGTAAAGTATATACAAGTGATTGAGTTGGAATTAATATTCTGTCACGAGGATTAGAGATTCTTTTTAAGATTCTGCTTTGAGTCAGGCACTCTCTATCAGCAGAATACATCTATCAGGATTGTTGTGAGGGAAATAGATGGAGGAAGGAGTATTATGTATGTTCACTGCCTTGGGTTCCTTATAGAGTAATAAAGGCAAGATAAAAATATAATAAAATAAATAATAAATTTTCTGTGATTCCAATGTGCATATAACTAGAACAGTATGCTGCCAATATGCTGCTTCTTTAGTTAATTAATAAGCAAAAGTAAGAATAACATTATTAAAATATTTTAGTACAAAAGTCAATCTTGCAGAAGGTAAAATAATAGCCTCTTTTAACAGAGCTGTTTTAAGGGCACTTTCAAAAGTTGTTTTACGGGTAACTTAAAATGGCTCATCCTGCTTCTGTAATAGCAGAAAGATTTTCCCTGGGTGAGCCAGTGTGATGTGCAATTTTCAAATGCACAAAGATCAAGAGTGAATTTAAGAAGAAGAAAAGAAAAAAAAAACCACCTTTGTATTGATTTGAGGCATGGCAGAATGAAATGGGCACTTTTCCTAGGGTGTTCGGTACTTTTATGGCAGACTTAAACATTTATCCCAATGTTTCTTGAGGTTTTTTTTTTTTTTAAATGATTTGTTTAAAAAGTATTGGATGTTGGCCTTTCTATTTTCTTTTCATATTTCCATTATTATTTTTTTCAACCACAACAGAGAAACAGTATAGTCGGGGTGTGTGTGTGTGAAAGTGACATCTCCTTCAGAACTAGTTTCTGAAATAAACTATTTGAGCTTCATGTCTTTAAGTCTTCCATGACTTAAAATTACAAAAGTGATAAAATAAGACTATGTGTTAGCTTTGGACCCAGAGCCTCTTGTTAATAAAAAAAAGTCCCCAGGGGGAAGGGTACATTAAATTATGCTAGTTAACCATATCAGTTGATATCTCTCCTAAGTTTGGTTTATGTAATTTAAATTCAAGTTCTTGGTTGTCTCCTTGAAAGTCCTTCATGGCATGAAGCCAGGATAACTGATTTCTCATCCCAAATACATGGCCCTGTCCCACCTGGTCAAGAATCCTGCATATCCCTTCCATCACGGAATTTTGACTGATGGGATCTAGGAAGAGAGTCTTCTCAGCTGCTGACCCCACCTTATGGAACATCTTACCTTCAGAGGTGAGGTGAACCCCTACATTTCTAGTGTTCTAAAAGAGTATTAAGGCCTGGCTTTCTGATTAACATGGGGGCCTAAAAGTATGATGCAGCTCGAAGGATGGCTGATGGCCTAAGAATATTCCCATTTCCTTGTAAATTTCCTTATTTTTGAATTTGAACTTGATTTATTTTTACTTGTAAGTTTTAATTTGTTTTTAACCTTGCTTTTAAGTTGTGGTTTTAGTCATATATCTATAGGGTTTTATTACATTATTGTAAACTGCCTAAAAAGTCATTTAGATGAGAAATTTAATAAATACAAAATAAAATAAAGTCAGGATCTAAGGTTGTTATGGTGTTTCTACTGAATGAATTGAAAACTCATATGAAGATCTACAGAAGACACAATAATATATCCCTTCCTAACATATTCCTTGGAAATGTTCTTAATTGAATCCATTAAATAATCCAATGGGACTGTCCTGGAATAAAAAATGCAATGTTTGTTTCAATGTGGCATATATAGAGTTCTTGCATATCAAGTCCTTCTGAGATATGATTTCTAAAATCTTTTAGAAGAAAGTCATCATCTTTCCTAGCTTTGTTTATTCAAGTGTTTATTCAAGTGTTTTCCATATAACTTTTGCTTTCATCCCTGTATATATTATTAAATGTATAATTATTCCTGAAAAGGAACCATTGTGATATCCAGGAGGGATTATCTCTTTCTGTATGCTTTGCATACATGGTGAATTTGACATTCACAATTTCA